AATTGAAATTTTGGGATTGTGCTATCTAATTTCGAAGAAAACAAGCTCAACCAATCCGGCGTCAGTAACCGTCAGTACGTGATTTAAGAGAAAAATAACGGCGACTGGTACGTCGCATGGAGGTCAACAGCCTTGGGAAAACTCCCCCTGTTTGAATCGTTGCGCCCCGTTTGGGGAAACTTCCCCTGTTTGAATCGTTGCGGCCCGCGTTTAAATTCCACCACAATAAAAGTTTCCAGCGCGGGAATCGATCGTCAAGAATTGCCGTTCGACCAGGACATCCGACGCGTGTATTTTTACCGTACCACGCATGTACTGAAGACAGTACACAAGTTAACTGACAATGCAAAGTTAACCTGTCACTAACTGTACACCGACTCGGCTATCTTATATATACAAGAACCCCAAATACCGCCTATGTGTGGTGGCGATTTACGCATTAATTAGTCGTACGGTAAAAATACACGCCCCCCGACCCCCCTAGTTTCCCCCTCCCCCCTCCCCTAGTTTTCCCCTTCCCCTCCCCATCCCCTCCCCTCCCCCCTGTTAGAATTTCATCCTGGGGAGAACCCTGCTATGTATCGCAATATTTTGTATTAAACTAATATAACCTGTTATAAAATTCGAAGTGACGAGCGCGCGAGGATCGAATATACTGAGCGCCATTTCTGTTGACCTGTGACGTACTTCGGTTTGAAGAGCGGATTCACCGACCAATCGGAGGGCGCTGCGCTTTGCCGATCGCTATGGCATTGGAAATGCGTATGTCACAGGTCAACAGAAATGGCGCTCAGTATATTCGCGCGCTCGTCACTTGGAATTTTTGTAACAGGTTATATTAGTTTAATACAGAGTATTGCGATACATAGTAAGTTCCCAGATAGCGGAGAAAGGTTCGTGTTGAGAATAAACCCAGTTTGGAAGTTCTAGTCTCTGAAAACGCACCAGCAAACCGGCCCGAGTGATTCACTCGGGCATTCCTCCGCACAAAAGGATAGGGAGGCTTTGTAACCCTATCCTCTTGGGTTTGGGTTACATTATTGTATCTAATCCGAGGCGTGTTCAGGAGAGCGAGCGCTCGATGCGAACGCTCGATGAACGAACGCAGCGCCTCCTGAACGACACACGAGCGCTCGCTGTGCGCTCGCTTGATGCAAAGATGGCGGCCCCCATGGAGGGTTACTCAGCAGATTTTAATGTCTCGGAACAAGTACGGTTTGTGCAAGATTCCAAGTTTGGGCACAACATATGCACCCACGCAGGCACATACGCACGCACGCGGACACAGACACATGCTGTATGCACCCACGCAGGCACATACGCACGCACGCGGACACAGACACATGCTGTATGCACCCACGCAGGCACATACGTACGCACGCAGACACAGGCTCATGCATGCAGGCACATACATTCACATGAACACAGAGGCACATGCTGTGTGCACATACACAGGCGGACACGTACATATGCACACGGGCACATATTATGTATGCACGCGGAGACAGACAAGCACGCTGCAAGCACTTATGCAGACACGTGTATGCACACAGACACGCATGCTGTAAGAACCTACACACAGCCAGACACGTACACACGGTCACGCATATTGTAAGCACCCACGCAAGCATGCGCACTCGCACACAGACAACACATACTGCGCACAATTTATATAACCTATACTTTTCACAAATTTCAGATTGCTTAGACAATGGAAATAATAAAAAGGCTGTCCAAGAAGCGGACAAGTTGATGAAAAAGCAGAAAGAGTTTCACTGTGCCAAGGTCAGATATATGCAGATGACAAGAGCCATTCATATTTAGATTCTTGAATCGTTTTCTTCGTTGCAATACAATTCTGCTATCTACAGATTAGTTTTAGCATAAAATTATGTATGCATTTCATGAACATATATGGCACAGTATAGATTGGTAACCATGGTAACACTTCATAATTATTTGAGAAGCACAGCTTTATCGAGGCAATTGTGTCTATATATTATATAATACCTGATAAATAATTGTAAATAAATGTAAATTTTCTGCAATTTCCTTTTTGGTGACATATGCCACTACATGAAAGGCACGAGGGAAAATTCAACAAAGCACGCAATCAATTAAGAAAGTTAACGTGTAATAAATTATCCGTTTGTCACAGGTGTTAAAAGCGTTAGCGTTGCTGCGTTTGGATCGCAAAGACAATTGCGTCAATCTATTAGAGGAGGTTCACGTACTGCGTCCTACCGATGATCCAACGTTGCAAGCCATGACCATTTGTTACCGGGAACTACAAAAACGTAAGTGCTACCATGTTGTGTGTACGCATCATTTATACCCTCCGTCGGTCAAGCCTTTCCAAGCTGCCCACTGTAATGAACTCTGCTCCAACCAAGTGCGAGATTCGGTGCTATTCGTTATACTTGTAGCAACATCACGTGCTTCCATGCGGAGCTCGAAAGTGGAAAACAATAAAGAGTGTTAGTTCAGCTGTATAATGATGTCATACACGACTCCACGAGTGTATGTTTACATCAAACAATATAGTAAAATGGAAAGTATAATACAGCAATTTAACCATAAAAAGTTTTTATAGTATTTACAGTGACGTAATCACTTTAAATGAAAAAAAATGAATGAAAAAAATATTTTTGCAGCCGAGTTGATAGCGGACGCGTACGACAATGCGGCGAAGCGGGAACCGACGAACGAGGAGTTTCTATCTCACCTCTTCATGGCGTACGTGCGCTGCGGAAACTACAAGAAGCAGCAGCAAACTGCCATGGCACTATACAAGATCGCTCCGAAAAACCCCTACTACTTCTGGGCTGTCATGAGCATTATCATGCAGGTATGTGTGCGTCGGTTGTTAGGAGGCAAATTCAAATATCGGTTTTAAATCGATTTAGTTAAGGGTGTCGGTATCACGCCGCTCGCGCGTTCTCACCGTCCGCACGGTGCTGCCACCTGTGCATCGCCGCGCGTTCTCACCGTCTCCGCACGGTGCTGCCACCTGTGCATCGCCGCACGTTCTCACCGTCTCCGCACCGACAGGCGCACACGTCGGAGAACAGCCTCGCGTGCAAGATGTACCTCCCTCTCGCCGAGCGCATGCTGCAGAAGTTCGTGAAGGAGGAGAAGGTCGAGGCTGAGACCGAGGTGCAGCTCTACCTGAACGTGCTCGAGATGGCGTCCAAACACCAGGAGGCGCTGCACGTGCTGGAGGGACCGCTCGGAGGTAACGCGGCGCGCGTGACGTTAGCGATCATGTACTTACCGTATATACTCGCGTAATAACCGCAAATTTGGCCTCAGATTTCAACCCTGTATTTGCTCTGCGGTTTATAAGTGCGCCATATACCGTGAGGGGAAATATACTAGGCGCAATACTTGGTTACCCGATTCAAATTGAGGTGCGGCTTATAGGCGCCCGCGGTTATTACGCGATCATATACGGTACATACTTTACTTACTTATCAGGGTTTCTTATACATAAGAGGCACAGTGGCGCAAGGTGAAGGTCGCGAGGTGAAGGTCGCGAGGTGAATAGCCCATGTTTTGTTTGCAGCCGTGTTCAAAGTCACTGCCAATTCCAAGTGGAGCTTTCGACACACAAAGCGGGCGGAGCTGTGGATGAAGCTGGAACAGTGGCAGGAAGCCAACTCCGCATACAAGCAGTTGATCAATGAAGAGTGAGTATGGCCCGTAGTTGTAGCGAGCTCAACATCTGATTCGATGACCACGTCTGGTAATATTATACAAATATCCCAGTAACGTTAGCTTTCCCAATACTTCGGACAGTCAACTCTATAACAAAATCTATAACAGTCAACTCTATAACAAAATCTATAACAGTCAATTCTCCCAATACCTCATTAAATAAGTTCATTCGGTTGGTAGAATAATAGATCTATCTGGGTTAATTGTTACTCAACCGTGAAGATAGAAAACGTACAGCTGACGTTTCGTCTCCTATCAGGAGGCTTTCTCAAAGCTGACTGATGATTATCAGTCAATTAACCCAGATAGATCCAATCTTCCAATACCTACCTATGTATTGCGCGTCTAATCGATTGAAATTTTTTATTCATATACAGTTCAGATCAGTGGCAGCACTACGCAGAATATTTCAAGTCGATGTTTGCTCTCGTAGACAGTGGGTGGCAGCCAGAAACAGGCTTTGAAAACGGGTTTGTGATTTCTCTCTACCATTTTGATGCAACAGTTCGATGCTTTGACCTTTAAATATTGCATTATAATACTCAGCTGTAGGCAATCGCAAAGCGAACTAACGTAAAACTTGGTTGATCGGCGAAAGTTGCTCGAAAGCCCGAAAGCTCGAATCTCGAAAGTTGACGAAAGTTGCTTGAAGTCTTATGATTAGAATTTGACGGACCCTCAAACCGTTGGATTCAGAATTTTTCGCTAGATGGCGCAGCTTCGTAGAAACTCTGGTGCGACGACGGGGGCGTGTGAGCCGACATGCCTGAAAAATATAATAAATCTCAGTCGGAAATCTCGCACGTGGCAGTGACGTATGCGGGCGTGTGATTTCAGAGCCGACATGCCGGCCTGCGACTACACTGTCGACATGGCACTGAATTTTGTCGGCGGGCTGGCCGCAACCGAAGACATCCAACCTTCCAAAAGGCTACGCGGCCCCTACCTAGCGCAGCTTGAGCTGCTGAGGCTCCTGAGGGCCCGGGGGAAAGACGAGGCGTCGGAGAGGCTAGTGCCGCAGCAGCTGCTGCTGCAGTACTTTGAGATATTCGGTGACAAGGCTTGCTGTTACTCAGACCTCGCGGAATACCTGGATCTGATCGGGGCGGGCAGTCAACAGGTGTGTGAGCGAGATGGACGAATCTCCTTCTGTGCGGCCTTTCAAATCTGTTCAGAAATTGTTGTATCTTCAGTTATTATGTTTAGTTATTATCTTGGGTATAGTTTGGAATATTTAGATTTTGAGGCAGGTGTGTGTGAGAGAGAGACAATCTCCTTTTGTGCGGCTCCCCACTGTTTCTTCAGAAATTCCCTTATGTTTGATGTAGAGAGAGAGAGAGATAATTATCAGATATATTCAGAGATTATTATCTTGGATGTGATTTGGAATATTTAGATATCAAGTTGTTACTTCTGACTGCTATGCGGCAATGACATTGAGAGGAGAGTGTAGCTGGAATACAAATTTGATACCATCTGTGTTAAAAGATGATTCTATGTTGAAACGGCTGCGTTATCATATTGCAAACGGTCCAAATGCGTGAACTATTTCGTATATTCTATTGCATTGTTCTTCTTACTTTGTTTACAGTTTCTGGCAGAGATTAGAGAAACGATGAAGTTTGGAGAAAGTGGTGAGAGGGAGTGGTTTGCGAGCGGTGTAAGTTGAACTGATATATCGATAAATCGATTAAAGTCAAATATATTTAACAGGGGTAGAAATTAACTTTTGCACAAGGGAGTGCAACGCCCTCAAAAAGACAGGAGTCCGCAGCAAAATGAGGGAGTCCGCAGTCTGAAGTTCAAAAATAAAGATATTAACAATAACGCATGTGCTTATTTTGAAGATTTATGCGGTTGCACGTCTGTCAAATTTCCTTTGGACATTTGCTGAAAAAATTGACAATTCCGCGAGGCCGTGCTCTGGAACGAACTAGTTACTATAGCAGAATTTTCAGGGAGTCACACGGACTCCTGCATATGTCAAATCAGGGAGTCCGACAGTAAATTAGGGAGTATTTGACTCCGGACTCACATTAATTTCGCACCCTGGATTATAATTTAAAACTGCCTGCTTGCCAACTTTCGTCCCATTGGCAGGATTTCTGCATTACTAACATTTTGAATTTTCGCTAGTGCCTTGACACTAGTGTCAGTCTGCCAAGTGTTTATTTACAGTAACATGGGTTCAGTAGGTGCAAGGACAGTTTCAAATGTTACAACTGGCTTGGAACACATTGTTAATTAAGTTCATCTGTTTGTGATAATCCAATAAGTTCTTTTTAACCAAACAAGAATTTAAACGTACCATAAACGTTTAGACGATAACGGCAGTGATTGCTGCAGTATGTCAAAACGTTTACGGTACGTGTAAATTCTTTTTGTGGTTTTTCGATCGCTGTTTTGTTTGAAAACTAAAACACCAAATGTTATTAAACAAATATATGCAATAACATTCACACCCAATTATTATCGAACCCTCCACTTCGTTCTAGGCACACCCGTGTTTTGAACCCTTCCCCTTCTTGCATGATGCACTGTCGCACGCCCAATACTTACCTAAACTTTTCAGCGTGGGTCGGGTGAGGGCAAACAAACATAATTTTAATTGTGGCCTTGCTTGCTTTGCAGGCGCGCGCAATGCAGAGGCACGTGTGCTGGCTGCGCGTCTGCCGTCGCCTTGGCGACGCGCACGTGCGCACGGACGCGGAGCGGCGCTCGCTAGCGGAAGAGCTGACAGCGAGGCACCGCGAGGGTCTCTCTCTCGGCCACGACCTCCTCTCCACCGACATGCAGTACAGCGACGACTACTGCATCATGGCTGTACACGTGCTCTACGACGTGTGGTGCCAGTCAGGTGGGTGTGGATGTAGGGAGGAGGAGGTGTAGGGGGAGAGAGGTACAGCGACGACTACTGCATCATGGCTGTACACGTGCTCTACGACGTGTGGTGCCAGTCAGGTGGGTGTGGATGTAGGGAGGAGGAGGGTGTGTAGGAGGGAGGGGGAGGGGGAGGGGAGGAGGGTGTGTAGGGGGAGAGAGGTACAGCGACGACTACTGCATCATGGCTGTACACGTGCTCTACGACGTGTGGTGCCAGTCAGGTGGGTGTGGATGTAGGGGGGAGGTAGGGGGGAGGAGGGTGTGTAGGGGGAGGGGGAGGAGGGTGTGTAGGGGAAGGTAGGGGGAAGGAGGGTGTGTAGGGGGAGGAGGGGAAGGAGGGTGTGTAGGGGGAGGGAGGGTACAGCGACAACTACTGCATCATGTCTGTACACAATGACATGCTATACGACGTGTGGTGCCAGTCAGGTGGGTATGGGTGGGTTAGCCAGAAGTTGGGTTGAGTATTGTGTATAGGAATGTATGCTGCTAATGGGTATGCATCAGTATGCATGCATCATGGTGTAGTTATGCTCATAGGGTCTATGTCCCCCAGGGTACTGCCGGAACGTACCCTGGTCACTATTTGATATGGTTAGGATTAAGGTTAGGGTTGGGTTCGGGTTAGGGAGTAAGCGTAGGCGACTCACTAGACGCGTTAGTGGAATAGGCGAGGTATGGTCCGGCATATTAGATAGTACCAGGGTACGTTCCGGTATACCGGACCGTACCCAGGGTACGTTCCGGCAGTACCCCGGTGGACATAGACCCTCTCAGCTGTAGTTATGCATATTGCAAAGTGGATTTATCAATGTTATTTTCGTTGTAGATGAAGATATGCAGCTTTGGAAGATGTGTGCCTTACTTGAAACTGCATTAAAGTCGAGTCCATCAAACTTCCACATGAAGTTACTGCTAATCAAACTCTATAGCATTCTAGGTGAGCATATTATTGGTGATTCCATTTATAATAAATATGCCACATTCCTAAAATATTTTTGTCTAAGTATTGAGGCATACTGAAACACCACGTTTTTTGAACTTCAGAGTAATGTGGAATGAAGCTGTAAAATTCTGTACAGCTGTAAAATGAAGTTGTAAAACTGTCCCGTATCTAATAATAGGTATTATAGAAGTAGAAAATGCATGCATATGCCAAACCTACCCATTCAAAAATTTACTCGCTGTACATTCCGTAGGTGTTTATGGCCCTTCAGTTGGTATCCAATTGGAACTTCGACATATACAATGGGATACCTTAGGGTGAGTTCAAACGTCGAACCATAGAATTGGTGCAACCAGAAGTAAATAATCATAAATAAATATTTTCTGATTACTTACTCTTGATGCAACCAGAATCTATACCGAAACCTTCATTGTTTAACTGGCAATCTAAGATAAATCGGCAACGCCAGGGAGTAAAACGTCCCGGCTGTGACGACCCGTTATATGGTAACTCGATCAAAGTGATTACGTCACCGTAAATAGTAAAACTAAAAAAAATATTTCTGCTTTTTCACAAAATGTAAGTAATTCTGTTCACTTTTTATGGTTGAATTGCTGCATTATGCTTCCTATTTTACTATATTGTTCGATGTAAACATACACTCGTGACTCATACACAGCCCATAGCAAGCCAGGATCATAGTATCAAATCGTCTAGGTTTTTTTTAGCTCACCTTGACATCGTCAAGATGAGCTATTGCCATGAGTCGTCGTCCGTCGTACGTTCGTCCGTCTTTCCGTCAACATTTGGCTACGGTCAACGATAACTCAGGAACCGTTTGACCCACATGTTTGAAATTGGGTATAGTTGTTACTGCTATGGGAGAGGTTTGAACGTCCTATTTTGGAGCACGCCAGTCGACGTACTTTCGAGCCACGCCAATTTTTTGGCAAAAATTGAAATTGCCATTAGTCAGTTCAGGTTCAACGGATTTTGCTCATTTTTGGTATGTGTATGAATAAGGGCTGGCCCCAAAACGTCTTACAGGGGTTTTGATATTATGCAAATTAGGTAGGTTTTGGCAATTATATAGCATATTATATAGACACGCAAATAACAGTCTGTGGTGTCACAGTCTGGTTTGTTGTACAAGATTTCATTGACAATATCTTTAATGCAAAATTGGTATTTCCTCTCCACCCTGCCGATAAAACGTCTATATTAGAGTAAAGTTTTACAAAACATGTCGGAACGCAGCATAACCTATTTATTTCGAACGCCATCGCTAAGAAACATCAAAGCAGGTATAGCGCCATCTACCATCACAAAGAGTATCAAGAGTATATAATTGGAGTTCTCCCATATATACTCTTCGTTTCTATAATGTACGTCACTGGTTGCTCAATTAAAACTGACTTCTTCTCACTCAGTCATTTGTGTCCTTTTTTGTGGTGAGCTACAGTGTCATTGACACTTTCATTTAAGATTTTTAACTAGTTGAGAAACAATCTTATCAGGTAAGAATTTGACGATACATTTAGTCCCATTAGTACTTACTTTTAATGTAAAAAAATGGCAACACAAATTTTACAAATATACACCATAGAAAACTCGGGATGTAGTCAATTTAACCTCGCTAACCTTATTGGCAGCTACATGTACACAGGGCCCGTACTGAGGGTCGGACATTACTCCGCTGTCAACCAGGCGGTCAACGAAGCGCTGCGGTTCTTTTCCGTCAACTACAGGGATGTGAGTGTCACATACATTTATTTATTGGTCGATGCCTATTATTGATTACTATTGATACTTGATACTATTGATTAGTTTCTGCAATACTGTTATCTTTTTGGGGTGGGGGATAATAACTGAAACGGTATAATGGTTTTGTAGGCTGATGATAATTGGCTAGTAGTCAAATGTGATATTGGGATTGTAATTGATAAACGTATGTTATGTTTTGGATAAAATAATGTGTAGCAAATGAGATAGTGGGAATGTATTGATACAATATGGAAATAAGGGAGCTGATAAAAGCCAGGTATAGTGATATATATATATACTAATAATGTTTGCCTAACTACTTAATTCGGGTGTAGATTCACAAAGGGGTCAAATTTAGCGCGTGTGTCGAATACTTGATACTTGTGTTTGCGTAGCCATCGATAATTTATATTTTTCAGACGAGCGAGTACATCATATCGGCATACAAATACGGTTCGTTTACAAAGGTAGGTGCAGCTCAGGTTTACTTGAACATGTCGACAAGATAAGTACCTGAAGATTTTTGACGAAACTACTCGAGTTTTATACGGGGAGGCTTGCTTCCTTGCCAAGAATTATCCTAGTCTGTTGCATTAGTATATGCAGAGACTCAGGTCCCTACTGAGTTATGCTGAGGGTATGCTGGTTAAGATTCTATTCTGTTTGAACCGGGCAGGCCTGTTCTGGTAAGATGAGTATGCTCTCTAATACCCCGTACAAACTGCAAAATATGAGATTGTATTAAACTGGCGCGCGCCAAATCGTAGCGTACAGACACAAAACTTTGAAGCGGGCTAAGTTGCGTATTACGAAAGCTGATGCACGGCTGGCCCCACATTGCGTACAGACACATTCAAATCGGGCTAATTTGGTATGCCGCAAGTTAGCACGCTTCGAAGCGGGCCTGGCCCTCCTTCATTTGCTGGGCCAAATTGCTGCGGGCCAGCGCGTATTTGGAGCGGGATAGCGTGTACACACTGCAAAGGTTTGGCACGTGCCTGACCTGCCCACGTTTGATACCATATCAATCGCTGTCAATATTATGACATGGGGTCAAAGGTCCGTGCTAGGTATGAATGAATGACTCCATATACCAAATCATATTTTGTTTACTGATTAGATGGTAAACCAAGATATCAACAAACTTCTCAATACAGCATTATGCAGTCACCGTAAAAACGTTTATTTAAGTTCTAACAGGAATATGAATATCACCTATAGCTAAAAAAAGCGTACTTTGAAATAGAAATGAAAGGAAATGAAAATACTTCTTAAGCCACCTACTGCTGCACAATATTAATATAAGGTGGCAATTGAGAGCACGACGAATCGTAATACTGAGGGTCTACTATGAACACTAGCTTATCATAGGCTGCGTTATGAGTATACATGTGTTTAAATTATGAGTGATATAATATTAATAACAACAATAAATATAGTAGAGTTAAGCTATTATAAATATAGATGTGATGCGATGCGTGCTACTCACTACACCCTAAAAACGACGCCTCTTATTCACCTTATAGCCCGATAGATCCGTTAAAATAATTACAAATGTACAGCAGCCGTACGATTGCGAAATGCTTCCCACTTATCCATCCCCGCCGATGGCAAGACTGTAAACATGAACTCTAGACCCGCCACTCCTCCATACCTGCCTTCGCAGCCACAGTACTAAACGTACGTACACGTCTTCGTCTTCACGCACGCACAAACGCGCGAGTACATCTTTAATACATGACCGTCTATCAGAGCAAACGATGGCAGCCGCCGCCTCCGCGCGTTGTTGTCGTCGCCACGGCGACCGCGCTACATGTCTTTGTAGATGATCGTCACGGCGTCGAGGCACTCGGCGGTGTCGCGAGTCAGCACGTAGTCTCTCTGCACGCGATCGCTCTCGTTGTCGCACGCTTCCGGCTGCAGCCCGCTCGTGTCGACGTGCGGCACGCTCCCCATCCCCGTCAAGCACGCCCCTGCCACGTTCGTCAACAGCCGATCTACCTCCAGGCGCACGCGCTCCATAGGGAACTTCCCTTTTCCGTACCCTTCCGGCATCGCCCCCGCACGCTCGTCGGCGACCGCGCAGTTTAGGAAGATGAGCATCTTGAAGACGCACTCGTAGGTTTCCTTGAGTCGCGCGGCGCTGTCGCGTCCCGGGGTGACGTCCGGAAGAACGGGGAATCCGGGGAGCGGCGGCGCGGACGGCGGGGAGGCACCGGCGAGCTCCTCCCTCAGGATGCAATGGCCACGTCGCCGTGGCGACCTCGCTGCAACATCCGACCTTTGAATTGACCTTCTTACGGCTTCGTCGTGTGGTCCTGTTTAGCGAAAGTTTATATTATCCCCCCCCCCCATTAACATCATTAGTTAGGTTCCTGAAGGTGGAACTATTACTTGAACCGAAACGTTAATATCTCTAAAGTGTTACTGCGTCATGCCTTTGTAATTTTTACAGAGAAGTGATTTCACAAAAATTGCTATATATATTATATATTATTAAAAACGTAGGAGATATCAATAGTCTATAATAGAGACTTCTATATGGACTCTTGATGATATATATACACCTCAATTTCCCCCATTAACGTCGTAGTTAGACTCCTGAAATCGAATTTTTAACCGAAAAAGTTAAAAGAATGGTTCTTGCCATCTGATCGCACTTTTGAATATAAACGTCACATGCTTACTTAGTCGCATTGGTGGCGTAGGAATCGAATATAGTCATAGCGACTGTATAGTATATGTATACCCAGTTCCGTTTCTAGAAAAAAGATATTTTCCCGTGCTATTAATAATGAGTGTTGACCTTCTCACGAAAGTTTTACTCATGATCAGTAGCAGTGTGCCGATACTTAAGTAAAAGTCCTCCTGAGTATTATTACATTAGAAAGGAGACTATGTCTTTATTATTGTTTCTTGTTAAAAGCAGATGGGACTGCGTTGATAGGTCGCCATCAGGGCGCGAAATTAGCACCGGCCACGGCATTATGCCGGGAAAGTTATTTGGAGGGTCGGTAACACTGGCAAAAACAAACCAAGTCCTTCCGAGGTCGGTGGGGCTTTCAGCCGTGTTACGTGAATAGTGAATTACCTACATTTTCTTATTTATAGCCTAACATTCTTTATAGCAAATAGCCTTACATTAATTTACTGTTTTACCTGAGGATATCACACCATAACTTCTTCACATTTTAAATTTTGAAATTCGCGAATGCAAGCGTCGAAACCATGACATTGTTCATTTGTCATGACGCTGGTAAATTATTGTGTGGGCCGGTTCCAAAAAATCTAAATTTCGTGCCCTGAACATAATATCAGAAAGTAGATAATAGGAATTTCCATCTACTTCTGATAATATGAACATAACTAGTGTCGCAGAGTTGCAGTAAACCTCTATCCGAGTCCACACTTCGATCATAAACATGGTTCATGTACACACGATATACAATCGTTAATAAGAACCCATTGTAATCTCTCACGCACACTATATAAGACGACACATAAGCGAAATACCGAAGTTAGCCATTGAATAGCACAGAGTTGGTCGATTCTATAAAAATTGGTTTAACCATGTAGCTGCCAGTCAACATGAAACGCCATAAATGTTCCTCTCATTAAGGCAGGTGGCCTGTTATATGGGAGAGTTACTTGCCACATCACAGGTTGACTATATAAGCATATGCGATGACCATCGTTGTTCTCAGGTAGCGGAAGTCGTTGGCAGTCACCGCGGCGCGTGTGACATAGCTTACCAAAATAAACGATTTGCGAACCGGGAGAAAACATGGGTTTGTCATCGGCTTCACGATCACTGTTCGTTGGTTACCTGTTCGCGTTCTTCCACCGAGCGCTGCCGTTTTCCACTGCGATTGTTCCCTGGCGGCGCGCTCCGGTGAATGCACGATCGTTGGGACGCTTGAGCGGTCCGCGCTCGCCTCAAACTCTGTATCTACTTTCACTGACGATGGCCTTCTGCTACGTGCATTAGATATACTTGCTTCAACTTCTGCTTTTATTTTTTACGCTATTGCAATCTGGAGTATAAGCAATGATGTAGGCTGAATGAATAGAAATCGGTGACTGAATACGCAGATGCTCGACGTTGCCGCGTGCGGTCCGCTACTGGCAGGTGTTATTGACAACTCTGTGGTGAAGTAGACTCTCAGTACTATAGCCCGCCGTACATTGCCGCATGGGGCCTATAGTACTAGCAGCTAGTTGAGGTTGGGCTTATAAGTTAAGCGGAATGCGGTAGCTTGATCTGGTTTGTGATGTGACGTACGCACGTGGGTTGCGCCTCGCATTGCGCGCACACGTGCACATGCACAACGAAAATTCCCCGCACACGGCTGCACATGCATTGGTCGGACAAGTCGACCGCAGTTAGCTATATTTCATAATCTGCCGCATGTTGCTGCGCCCTTATACCGTATAGCTACAGTCGGTTATTGTTCACACGTCGCTATATACGCCATACGAAACTGCGATATAGCTATTACGGAGAGTACGTCACGACACGCACCTTTTTAGGGTCAGAATAGTATACGCGTTTCAAACTTGAGTATAGCTATCCGTGGTCCATTCACACGAAGCCCGAAAAATTTGTCCTGATACGTTAGAAACTGGACTACCTCAGTGATCAGTGGGGGGTTTTAAGATACCTTTACGCCGCACTGTTACGCGTGGTGGGCGGGCATGACTGAGAATTACGTTGCATGGAATATTTATAGATTAGCTTACTATATGCCGAGCCGATCTCGCTTAGAATTCAGATTGATGACATTAATAAGCGCGATATGTAATTCTGCCCGAAGAATCATGCGGCAAAAGAAAACCACGCCGAAAATGTTTTGCCATTGATGCATATTGAAATAACCGCGTCCAATGGCCTCAGCAGAGAAACAAAAGCAGCACGTTACCTTCAAGCTCGTTGTTCGGTTTTAGTGTCTCTGTTGAGATGTATAGCTTTCTTGTATATTAGCGCTATAGTGTGGCGTTTTTCCCTTTATACATTTCGGTAAAGATATCTCAGGCAAATCCGTAGACAGTAATAGGTTGGTTCAGTGTTTATTAGATAAAAACAATAACAACATTACTTCCGGTACTATTGAAGCGATACGCTGTTGCAGGTGTTGTTTGCTAATCAGTGCGGCATATCTAGGTTTTGAACTAAGGTGGGGGTTTACCTGAGGTGATTGCCTACACACCCCAGTGTGCCGAAGGCACACCTTGTACCCCCCCCCCCCCCCCGTAGATCCGCCACTGGCTATATTGATGCAAATCAATGGGGTTCTGTGCAAATCTGTCATCAGCTTTTGTGGCAAACATTATTGACATTGAATTGTTTACGACGGAGCGTGCTGGCGATTTACCTTTGTTCGATGGATAGCGTAACCTCACTCGAAAGTCGGGTGACGAAGATTACCTGCAACAAAAGTACGGCAAGGACCAGGCTGATCTAAAAAATGGTTTGCTGGACCGTAACCCGGCCGACCTAGTAGTAAAAATCATGTGCGCAGGGAGGAGGGAGGGAGGAGCAGAAAGAGGAGAGAGGAGAGAGAGAGAGAGAGAGAGAAGGAGAGAGAGAGAGGAGAGAGAGAGAGAGAGAGAGAGAGAGAGTGAGAGAAAGTGAGAGAGAGAGAGAGTGTCTGTGAGAGAGTGAGAGACCCACACACCACTCACGCGAGTACATGACCTTTAATACATGACCGTCTATCGGAGAGAGAGAGAAAAGAAAGCGAGAGAGATAGCAAGATATAGAGAGAGAGATTGTGTTGTGAGACAGAAATAAACAGAGAGAAGCAGAAAGAGGAGCATTTGGTTCGTAGGTGATTAACGATCTCCCGCGCTATCGTTTGTTCGCAGGTGCTGGAGTTTGTGCGCTTCCGCGAGCGCCTCAACAACTCGCTACAGTTTGCCGTCTTCACCGCTGAGAAGCTCGTTCTAGACCTGATGATGGAGACCAGCAGTCACGCGTCTGCGGAGAAGCTGCTTCGCTTCATGGACATAGACCCTGAGGATGGTGAGCTGCCGGGGGGAAGGAGAGGCGGAGGGGAAGGGAGAGGAGGAGGAGGAGGAGGAGGAGGAGGGAGGAGGTGGAGGTGGGGGGAAGAGGAGGAGGAGGAAGAGAATGAGGAGGGATGAGGTGGAGGTGTGGGAGGGAGGGGAGGAGGAGCGAGGAGGAGGAGAAAGGAGGGAGGAGGACGGGAGGGAGAGGAAGAGGAGGAGGAGGGATGAGGTGGAGGTGGAGGTGGAGGAGGGAGGGGAAAGAGGAGGAGGAGGAGGGGAGGGAGAGGAGGGAGGAGGAGGAAGAGGTGGAGGCAGTGAGATGGAGGGGGGAGGGAGACGGGGAAGGTGAGCTGGAGAAGGTGGGGGTTTAAACGTTGCTGTAACTTAGACAAGACTAAGTGTGGTGGTGCAGGGACCGGGGTGAGCTAGGGAGGGGGGGCTCAGGATGAGCTGGGTGTAAAGGAAGGAGTCAGAAAACAGCTGGAATGAGGGAATTTGATGGGAGGAGGTTGGCAAGAGCTGTCAATGTGTGTATGTGTGTGTGTGTGGGGGGGGTGCGTGCGTGCGTGTGTGTGAGTACCAATGGGTGAGATGGAGACTGATAGAAAGATAGTGGTAGAGAGAGAGAGAGAAGTGATAGAAATGAAAGAGAGAAGAGAAATTAGAAGGAATAAAAACGAGGGGACATTCCCGTACATTTCAGCGATTCTGTTTTTTTTCAGACAAGACAAAGTGGGAAGATCTACGCGACACAGAGATCTAGACGTGATGCTGTGCTGGGATCCGCCCGAACACAGGCTGACTGAGGAGCAACGCCAGCAATCATTTTCCGAGCAGGTACGTTCATATACGTCATAGCAGCGTACACTCATATCTCGGAGGATAATAAGCAGGATCACTTCTGGTTATTCATCTCTCTTTCTGGTTATCCACCTCTCTTTCTGGTTATCCACCTTTCTTTCTGGTTATCCACCTTTCTTTCTGGTTATCCACCTCTCTTTCTAGTATGATTCTCACCCTCTCTTTCTGGTTATCCACCTCTCTTTCTGGTTTCCACCTTCTTTCTGGTTATTCACCTCTCTTTCCTGGTTATCCACTCTCTTTCTGGTTATTCACCTCTCTTTCAGGTTATCCACTCTCTTCTAGTTATCTACCTCTCTTTCTGGTTATTCACCTCTCTTTCTGGTTATCCACCTTTCTTTCTAGTTATCCACCTCTCTTTCTGTGTGCGCGCGTACGTACCTGCGTGTATATATCGCACGTCGTATTTACGGCGGCACACTTAAGCCAAAGAAATACGCTCCCGCGTGTACCTAAAGACACACGTCGATTCATTCAAAGCTATCTCGTTACGACGTTCTTGAGAACAAAAATACCACTGCCACTGAGTCATTGGTTTATAGGATAAAGAACGATGATATGTACCGATTATATGATATCAGAAGTAGATAATAGGGAAGTTCTCTATTATCTACTTCTGATGATATGTACCGAGTAGAATTTAACCGTTTACTTGGATTTAATCGAATACAGAATATAGATTACCGATTCCCGAATATAGTATTTAACCGTTAACGACGGATGTTTGCTTTATTTATTTTTTTTTTAAATTTAATATCACGCAATTAATCAAGGCACTGGTGCGTTTTCTTTTTGCCTTCCAGTACCAATGGCTGAAACTCAGGAATTTCATGCTGCGTGCATTTTCAGCCTCTATGCATATGTGCCAGTCAGTGCCTGATAGTCTCACAGATGGGCTAGCACTGCATGCTGTTAATGGTAACAAGAAAAACATGCCAGAGCTTCTGGAATCACTGATCGGTCAGTTGGAGCAACTCCTGAAAGATCTGAGCGATCAGCACACTTGCGAGAGAAAAGTAGATGCAATGTTGAATCGGTGTATCACGCAGACTCGCTACTGTGGTAGGCTGAGCAAATCTAACAAGTGAATTACTTCCGTGGTTGCGTTTTGGTTCTTACATTGTTTATTTGTGTACGAAGTAAAATGTGTTCGAATTTTGCTCGTTGCTCTGGTTGAGAGGTTTAAAAATTTTGAATCCTTAATGGTATTATAACAGTTTCAATATTATTATGTGTTTCAGTATCCACTACAGGGTCCATTCAGTACACTCATCCATCCATATATGACGGGACAGCACAGCATTACCTTGATATGCTTACTAAAGCTCGTTCACTCTTACCAGCAGCAGCAAGAAAGAATAGGTCAGTCATGCCACCAATCCCCTGAGAGATCCAAAAGAACCTACCAGATTATATTTCTTTAAAGGTGCCTTCCCTCGAGATTTCAAGCGACAAACATAAAATCAGGCAAAAATGAATTATTTTAACATTGCACGTTTGTACTTGCCTATATATGTGTATATGTATATGTGGGAAGGCGTCTTTAAGCTCCTGCTTCATTATAGAGTATGAAACAACTGCACGAAATGGGCATAATCAATTCACATAGCACAGACTTACTGATACAGTGGACCCCCGAGATACGAACTCGGCATACGAATTTTTCGAGATACGAACAAATCTGTGGAACGAATTAAATTCGTATCTCGGGGGTCCACTGTGCTTGCTTCTTACCTACTATGCTTTTGCTTGCCGTTACTACTACTTACATAGCACAGAGCTACTGCTACTTTGCTGTTACTATTACTAACATAGCACAGAGCTACTTTGCTGTAACTACTACTAACCTAGCGTCTACTTACTGCCACTCACCTTCCCTCATGTCGTCTGCTTGGCAGGAGAGCAGGATGACGGACGGCTGGGCGCGCTCGCTCAGCAGCTCGAGCAGCACTGGCAGACGATCGGGGAGCGTGTGAGCGAGGGATTCGCCGCCTCCGCAGCTCCACAGCAGAACGGACACCAGCAGGTCAACGCCGCGGCGCTCACGCAGATCGTGCTCGCGACGGAGGTACGTGGCGCGCGAGCGGGGACGTGGGGGGGGGGTGATACGATAGAAAACAAACAGAGAAGGAACTGGAATGGAACTAGAGCAGATCGCCGTAGCCGGACACAGAACAACGGAACGTGCCGCCTCGGAAGAGCTTTAGGGTTCATCCGCTAAATTGAAAATAGAAGCAACTGTACAGCCGAAAATTGCGAGTCAACCCGTGGGCAGGTGGGATGGTGGGAGGTGCGAGCGTGGTATGGCTGGGGTGTTTAGACGGTTTGACTTTCAATTTTCGGCTTTACGGTTGCTTCTATTTTCAATTTAGCGGATGAACTCTAAAGCTCTTCTGAGGCGGCACGTTCCGTTGTTCTGTGTCCGGATTCTGCAATCTGTTCTAGTTCCGTTCCAGTTTCTTCTCTGTTTGTTCTCTCTGGTTCTGTGTGTGTAGAGGGGTACTACTCTGTATTCTGTAGTGAGCTACTACTACGGCTAGTTGCTCAAGTTGTTTTTACAACGAGCCCAGCTACACGAGTGGAAACGTCACTGTTTTGTCTTGTTCTTATTGAACATGTGCTCAGTATCTAATATCTCAGTTCGTTATCCTAACATCTCTGTTTGTTAACGCTCGTCGTTGTTCTCTAATAGGTCTCTCGCATTCGTTATCCTAACATCTCTGTTTGTTAACGCTCGTCAGTGTTCTTTAGTAGTTATTCTCATAGCTTGTTTAATAGTTTGTTAACGCTCATCGTTGTTCTCTAATTGTTCTCTGGCGTTTGTTATGTTGCAGACGCTCTCCCACAGTTGCCTCCTCATCGGAATCTGCGACAAACTACTCCAGCCGATGAAGCCAATTTTGGGGAAGAAGAGTAAAAAGAAGAAAGAGGCAGCATTGCACGTGGTACGTACACTCCGAGGCGTGCTCCACTAAATGATTGAATAATTTTTATAGTTCGGATCTCTATAGTTCACATGAAAATAAAGTTTTTTTAAATCTCATTAACATCAGACCTGAGGAAGTCTATCGGAGAGATGGACGAAGATTTCGTCAGTGTAAGTATATATAACGTATTTTGGATCTAACTGAGATAAGCTATATTTTCACGTGCTCCACTATGTGTTCCACTACGAAATGCGATAAACGGATAAAACAGTGATTAAACGCATTAATAGCGCAAAACACACGGAGAGACACGGACCATAACGGACCAAATTAGCAGTTAATTTACAGTCTGTCAAAATACAAGGACCGCCACGTACATGTACAGACTCCCACGTACTAACCACAGACTCCCACATACTAACCACAGACTCCCACATACTAATCACAGACTCCCACATACTAACCACAGACTCTCACATACTAATCACAGACTCCCACATACTAACCACAGACTCCCACATACTAACCACAGACTCCCACATACTAATCACAGACTCCCACGTACTAATCACAGACTCCCACATACTAACCACAGACT